TTTTATAATTATCATTTTTTGATCACTTTCTGTCTTTTAACTTTCGTAATGTCGGTGATATTTTCTCGTTCGCAATAATTTACAGCTACAATTTAGTGTTCATTTTTCTGCGTCGTAAGATGCGGCTGGTTGCCAGTCTCTAATCGATTTCTCGGTATCTTACGATTCACGTGGCTGCTTACGTTGATGACGATCATGTACGTCGGCAGAGGATAAAGTATTTTTCAAATCAGACCTCGGCTTCAGGTTCTGCCCCGATTTGCGGCTTAACAATTACGACGATGCTAGCAACCTACATTAAGCGGATATAATGAATAAGTTGTTGTTTGCGACATTTATTTCGAGAATGTAACACGAGTTGCGCAGATATAAAATATTTTTATAGATACGAACAATCTTTTATTTAAGAATTACATGCACGACATTTAATTATTATAATCATAACTCTATTTTTAAAATTAAATGGCATATTTTTTGTTTCTTTTGCATGTTTATATTAACATTTTAATTGAAGAATTAATCGTTTCTAAGAAGAATAGATCGTCGTTGCTGCTTATGAAGTATAACAGTTACTCGTTTTGTTATGTGTAAGTTATAAATGTACCGGTGGTTACTATGATATTTATTCTTTGTAACACGTGCACATAATGTATCCTCGAGAATATGAACACATGTAATATACGTATCATAACAGAAGACAAATAGCTTGCGCACATAACACCTGCTTTGAGCGCGCTTTATATCGTCATTATCTTTATCAATCGACTTCCTCCTTCTTAGAAAATATATATACAGGATATTATTTAATGAAATCGATATCATAACAAGTAATATCGAATTCTTTAATAAATGACATAATTTTTTTCATAAAATATTAAAAGACAAAGAAAATTAATACGAAAAATATGTTATGGAAAGAGACAATTTTTTGTTATCTTAATATATAATTACGATAAAAATTATTTAATTATATAATATGATAAGGTTTAAAATTTAATTTTTCTTTATTTATATTTTTATTGAATTTTTCTTTATTCTATATCATATTTCATGAAATAGGTAGGTTTTGCGAAAAACATGCGTGTGTGTCACGATATATAGTAAATTATTTAAAATAATACATTCAATGAAATTAACGGTGTTTATGTCACAAATTACTCCGCCTGCTGGCCAACCATCATTGTCGATTCTTGTTGGCGCGTCGTACGCGTGATTATAAGAACGCGTGATAAATATGTTAATTGAATAGTGCGAACCGTTACACAGTTAGCCCACAAGACGTCACTTATGCGTCGTCAACGGATAGCACCGTTCGATCACGCGTTCCGAATGAAATGCCATTCGTGAGTCAAACACTCATTCTATCGTGCCAAATTAGGCGAGTGATGTACGCGTACAACTTTTTTTAATCTTTTAAAATCTATATTTTAACAAAAATCACATGTATATAATTACATACATATATAATTATATATAATATATATATATATATATATATATATATAATTATGCATATATAATTTCATATTAACTTTCACACATACACACACAAATGTATGGTGAACTTCTATGAATCTATAAAGGTAATATGGCCTCAAAATTTACTATTATTATATTAATTGTAATATTGTAGAGTTATATAAAACAGATTATATTTATATCACAGAAACTATATCATTTTGTTGAATTTAATAAACGTAAAAATCATTTTTGTGATAATTGGTTTATTTTATGATACGCATTTCTCCGTATTAATGTCATCGCAAACTAAACTTTCGCTGCTTCTAACTTGAATTTTACATTGATAAATCGAGCAACTAGAATTTTAGTTGTTTCATAAACAAATAATAATTTATGCATTAATATTCGACGATAGCGTATACAGGTTGCATATATCCTACATCCAAAGTCAACGACCCTCGCGCTGCAACGTCCGCTTTTGCCAAGTGCATGCGTGCAGTTACAGCGCGTTTCTACAATTCCGTTGCATTCGATGCATCCATCTTTTGCCACTGTTAGACCGATGCAAGGCGAGATGCTAGACGATTTCACTGATTTCAGGACACGCTTGTGTATATCTGATGAGAAACGGTCAAGATTTGCGTTTTGCACGCGATTCGTGTGCGCAGTTCTTACGCAATGTGTAAATTGTCTCAGAAGTAGTCGATTATACTTTACATCGTTGAAAACCATTCAAGAAAATATGAAAGAAAAAAAAGTAGAAAAAAACAACAGGGAGGAGAGAAAAATCTTATTTTACATATATATATTTATTTATTTATAATTAAAAATTTATAAAAATTTTTAACATTTATGATATGTATTATATAATATTAATGCGAAATATGAGATTTTTATAATATTTCCAAATTCGATAAGCTATACATTTAATTAAAGTTGAAGAAAAATTATTTTTCTTTGTAAATATTATTCGAAAGAAAATTCGCGCATTTTTATAATTTACGAAAAAAAGATCTTTTGTATCAAATGCACGATTACATATAATATATGCATGTATGCGTTACATCTTATTCAACCAGAAAAAAATTTTTTTGAGATGAAATAATAAAGAACGACGACAACCGATTATGCAACGATTACGAAACGTGAAATTCGTCATTGTCAGTCAGTTAAAGTTTACTTCCTTTTTTCGGATTGGCACATATCATGTCGGCCATGGGCAACACACATGGCTGCATAGCCGATGACTTCCTAGACGATTGCGCGACCGCCGCAGGATGTGAGCAGCTTGCGTTATCGCTTCCGTTACGTATCTTACCAGCGTTTTACATCCCTCGCTTTCTCGCGACTAGCTGGGTACTTTACTCTGTTCGAAATCGCTGATAGCCGCGTGTGCACGTAAATGACAGGGTGATGATAATGATGGGTTACTATCGAAACGCATGTATGTTTCTGTGTTTATTTCTGTCCACGTAGCCAGCGAAACGTAACAAGACGAAAGGGTATAATATAATCAGGGCTATCATGTGTGTGTGTGCATGGAAAGGCATTTCTGCATTTTGACTTAAAATTGAATTATGCTTTTATTATATTCATTATACAAAGTAATCCAGATTGCTAAAGAAATAAAGCGTTGTAGAATTCCTCAAAAACTCTTTCTGGAATTAATTTCTATAATTAATAATGAAAATATTAATTAGTTTCTGAACTGTAAAATCTTAAGAATAAAAGATCCTTTGCGATTTAAATTTTAAAAGCGAAAATAATATATGTACTTATAATCTTTATTACGATATTTTGAATTAAACTAAAACGTTTATGAATCATCTTCTTAGACATTAAACAAGTTATTGTGTACAACATTACGCGTGTTTGCAAACTTATCCTACTTTGCACCTTTCGTAATCGCTAGTAACGGATATGTACTTAGACCAAACCTACGTTTTTCATTCGCGTCAGGAAAAAGCGAAGCAACATGAAGTATTTACGACTGGTTTCCTGTATTCACTTTCGTTGTGCAAGAGACGATATGTAAGATCAGTTATGTAAGGAAGATCTTATTTCGTACTTAGGGTAATGTAAAAAATACTGCTACATTGCCTCGGTGATTTGAGCATTTTGCTCGAGAAAGGTGACGAGACTCACCGCCCATTGAAATCATCAGCAGCAATCCGATGAGGCAACGTACATCCGTTTTGCATCGTACATGGTTGATGCGCTCAGTGCGTGATGATGTGAGATTGCGTGTCTTCGATATGAAGAAGAAGTTGAAAAGAGCATGCTTGCTTAGCGCGTGCGATGCACTCGCGATGAACGGTCAGAAAACTTGTTGCATTACATTGTGCAATTAGTCATGAGAGATTGAACTGTGCAGATAATCGAGAGTGCATCCTTTTTGAACAGCTTAACAGTTTTCGCGAGAATTTGCTCATTTGAGTATTTGAGGCAATTTCGTGAAATAGATGTGTGATTGGACATGATGATTGAGAAAAACACATTTAAATTATCATAGCGAGAATATGCATGATTATGGAAAAATGAAATTAAAATGACATTTTTTCTCATTTTTTGAATTTTTAGAAATGTTTAACAAAACTTTAACCTGAAAATAAAATTTCTAATTAATTTATATTATATTATTTTTTCCGTATATATGAATATGTGAGCGGGTCAACTAGAAAAGAAAACAAAAGCGATCTGCATTAATTAGTATGTCATTCTGAATAACTATTGTCGCTCTATGAAAATAAAAATGAAATCTATCAACACTTAGGAACTAGGTTTATTCAATGCACAAAATATAGTAGAATTAATCTTATATATAACTGTAAAAAATAATACACATCAATTGCATTAAAATAAAAATTAATTAAAATATAAAATTTGCATTCTATTAATTTTAATTATTTATTAATTATTTATTTTAATTATTTTTAAATATTTATATAATAAATAAAATTATATAAATTAATATCTAATAAAATATCTTTATATGCTGCTAATATGATAAAAATTTCTTCTTACACATTATATTTTAATTCATGAAAAAGGTTATATTTTAATATAAATATTGGAAAGATGTAAAAAAATAGATTTTTTAAATATAACTTTTAATATCTATTTTTACTCTTTAATATCTATTTTTGATTATTTGCGTCATTATAAAAAATTATTATTTTCACTCAAACAGTAGTTGCAGTAATTTAATTTTTTGTAAATCTACATCCTTTCTCATGAAACTTAAAAATACATTTATATTGAAATAAAGTTTATAAAGGAAAATGCGAAAATATAAGTTATGTATAAATTTACGAGAAGTTCAACTGTTATAACGTTTAAAGGAAATAGTAATTTTTTATAATGACGTACAAATAATATTAAGGACAGATATTAATAATAAGATAATATCAGACAAAAATCTCTTGCATCTTTTCAATATTTATTAATATAAATATGTATATATATATATTAATCATAAAATATGTATTAATCATAAAAAATTTGGAAATAATTAAAATAACAATCAATTTATAATTCAGTTTCAGATGCCAATGGCACTGGATGCGGTTATCCGGGTGCACCAGCACATAGCAGTGTGCGTTTCACCTACCCAGACTTGGATGATGTCATAGATGAAGAAGATGCCCTTCTTAAGGATACTACTTTTCCGTTGGGCACTGTAGCTACGTATTTCTGTGAACGTGGATTCGAGCTCTTGGGACCAGCAAGAAGAGAATGCCAAGCCGATGGGACGTGGACGCCGGAGGGTGTACCCTTCTGCGGTAAGTATATGTATTTTGATATTTATAATTATCAAATATAAACTTATATTTTTTCGATTGACAAAACTACACACAATCGTATATTTATGATATTCGATTAAATAATATTTTGTCAAAATGTGGTAGTTGTAATAAATAAAAACTATAGAAAAATAGGAAAAGTGAGGGGAGAAGACTTGGAAAAAGAATGTTCTAATTAGAAATATTAAAAGTAATTGAAGAAATATGTAATTAAAAATATTTATATAATTGAAAAATATCAAATCGATAAAGTTATCAAAATTAGAATATTAAATTAATTTTACGACAACATTACGACGTTGTAGGTTGACTGCGATGATAATTTAGGGATAACTGTATAATATGATATAATGGTATAATGATGTAATAAGAATATTTGACCGCAAGCACCACTAGTAATCTTTTATACATTCAACTCTAAGCAGCCTTCTTTTATCTATAAATTCTTTGACCAATTTTGAATTAATATTTTTGATGGATTTTTAACATTACATATAATTAATTCTGGAATTACAAAAATCTAATAAAATAAGTTACTATCAGAATTTAAATAAAATTTATTTTCCAAACAATTTACTTTTAATCATTTTAATTCAGTAATTATAATTTTTATTTATGTAATTCCCTACAATTCAGTAATTACAATTTTTATTTTTAATCATATAATTCAGTAACTATTAATTTTTCGCGAAGAAAACATTTGCACGCAAATTGAACAGAAAATTCGTAAATAAAATATGACGTGTGCCACGTGTCTGGGATACGTACGGAAGAATCTCTTGTAATTATATACATCGCAGAATCATTCTATGTAGAATTACATGGGACATACGATGATATATGGATTTATTTCCACGATGTTTCGGGAAGGCAAGTGACCTGGTTCCACGTGTCCTTGACCGAGCAGGTCCAGATGCTGGCACGAGAAATGCCGGAACGCGTCGGTGGGGGCAGTGCACCGTTAACTCTGAACCTGTTACCTGCTTGTAAGAGTGCCCGCGGCCTTCCCAATCTCCTATGCATTCCTCGTACAGGCTCTTTCAGACTGTTTCTTGTCCTTGGGGTTGTATTGGGCGAATTTATCCTGTTTTTTGTACAATCCGTCCCGGAAATATCTTCGATGTAATGCTGCTTCTATTATCGTCATCTATCGCTTATTATAACTATAAATTCCTTTTTATTTTTTATCGTAGCTTAAATAAATGAATTAGGAAAAATATTTGATTTATTTTACGCCAGATGGAATGCTAATTTTTTTTGAACGACATACTTCGTGAAATCCGTCGATTCCAAGAAGATGGTTATTGCGCTCATTAGCGAGTTATGACTAAAATATTTTAAGTATTTTCCTATATTTGTACGTGTATATACTAATTGTAAGACCTGTGCTCTTCCCACTGGTGAGATATTTGAACGAACTATGTGCTGAATGTCTCATATTCAATATATGCTATGTATATCTAGGTATTATTTATTGCGCGGAATGCGTTTTCTAGTCTTGTAGTCGATTATCTGAAGAATGAGGTGACCGGTTTTTTCTTTTATTGCTTCTCGACTTTTCGAAACATGCTAATCACAGAATAGATCAAATATTTATCATATCTAGTTGAGAAATTTGTATTTTTTTACATATCAAAGAAAAATATCTTTCAAATGAAAATCTTATATTATAAACATTTTGTTTATCTTTTTTTTTAATAAATAATATCTATAGTTTTTTATTAAATTTATTAAGAGAATTCTTCCCTTTTTACACATGTTAGTTCTAAAAATATATTTTCTTAAAATATAATGAATCAACAAAGCGAATATTAAGTCATTTAAAATTGAAATTATTTTGAGAATTTTCATTTATTCATCAATTATTTTGGAAATTTTCTTTGAAAAGATTTACAAACATATATTACAAATTTATTAATTAATAAATTCTAAGTCAGATAGTTTGATTTGTTAAGTAGAATGAAACAGTATGATATAAATTATTATTAGTAAATATAAAGTTAGTAAATATAAATTATTATTAGTAAATATAAAGAAATATCATCTTAAGTTTTTTCTTATTAAAAAGATTTTTTTATTATACAGACTTTCGAAATTTAATATTGCTTTAATATTAGTTAATTTTATTTGTCTTTTCATCTTCGTTTAAAAGTAGAATTAGAATCAGAGAAAGGGTAAAGTAAACCGTGAACCGACCTTATTTCTATTTCATCAGAAAGTCATGCAATTAACTGATGATTGAATAAAATGCGCTCACTTCCGGATGCACACGATACGTTCGTGCTCTTAGTAATACAATTCCTGCACGTATTCTCGTGCGAAACGTATCGAAGTGAAAGAGCATGGTTAGAAAGAATCATTCGCGATGAGATCTCACGGCCACGCTTCGTGAGCTCGATGACAGACTAAGCTGGTCCAGGATCACGAGAAGTGGCGCCGTGACGTGGGTGGAAGTGGGTCGCGACGTGGATTACGAATACACAATATCGACACGCCTTTATTATCGCGAGGACGTTTCTTCATGATGTGAAATAAGAAAATGCGAAAAAGGAGAAACGAAGAGAAATGCTCTTATTGAATGCTTTATTGTTAAATAACCCATATAAGAGGTTAAAAATGTTAAATTTTTTAACCTCCTATCTTTAAAGCAAATTTTTTAATCAAATTTAAATGTAAAAGTAATTTTATTGATAAATAAAATGGCATAAAAATGAAATATAAGTTAAGGAATTGATTTTTTTATAGGTAATTCACAATCAAAGTATCACACATAATGTTAGTTTTTTTTACTATTATTATACAATAATCAAATTAATAAATAAATTTGATTAATATTTCATATAGTGAAGAATTAATTCTGCAGCATATAGAAATAATAAAGTTCTTATATCAATTCAATGACTTTATAAATAAGAAATTGCATAATGAGAGAGAACAATAATTAATTCTAATTAATCCTTGTTAGTTAACTTCTGTTGATTATTAAATTTTAATTAACCATCTACATACATTTTTGTAGAAATAGATTATACACGTCATACGTTATTATTAACGATGAATTATATTTAAGAAAATAATCTAATATCTTTTTTATATGTAGGATTTTTCTCTTTTTTCATCTCGTCCTCTCTCTCTTTCTTTTTCTTGTATGTATTAATGCACATATAATGTTTTAGATATTTAAATTATATTAAAATTATGGGTCATTGGATTCTCGACCGATTAAAGCAGAAAGAGACACAAGTGAAATTGTCTTGATCAGAAAGGCAGAACGTAGTCTCTGAAGTAATTTACGCATTTCACTCTATATAAAAATCGTTACCGATTTTCTAATCCAAATATTTTCAAGTATTCGATTATATCTTTGTGATAATATTGCTAATTATCTTCAACAATCTCTAATCTTTAATTATATTATTTATGACACGATAGTTCTACTACATTTCTGAATTTAGATTTAGATTTTATTTATATCATTGTGTGTTTTTTATTTCATCTTCTGAATAAATGTGATATAAATATTTTAAAAAATAATCAAATTTTGATTAATTGAATGGTATTACATTGCAATCGGTGCATGTATTGTATGTATGTATTTCATCTTGAAATAAGTAATTTCTCGGCGATTAAAATCCTACAATTCAAATATCCAATAAATCGTTCTTAGATATCTCTTAAATATTTAATATCTTTATCTAATTCTTGAAACATCTTAATGTTTTCATATTTTATCAATCATATTATAATTATTTAGAATACGAGAATAATTATGTAGAATACAAAGGTTTATTTCACATGAAACAAAAATTATATATTCCAAATAAATTATTATTTAACAAATACATTAGAGAACAAAATAAGAATCTCAGGAATAAAATATCGCGTTCAATAGTAACTTATTTAAAATATACAATTTGTTTCATATAAAATGTACCATCACATTCTACAATAAATAAATATAATATTGATTAATACAAAGATAATAAAATATTCTAAGATATCTATATAGAAATGATTTAGTGGATAGGTTTGAATAGTATTGATGTTGTATTCATTTGTCTATATATAATAATTAAAAAAAAACATCTATATGTAATAATTAAAAGATTTTGGTATGCGTGTATATGTGTGCATGTATTCATAAAAATATTCTGAAAATTACTAGCGGAATATCCAAGCATTTTTGTTGAATATTTACATATATCAAGAATGTGTAGGTTCATCAATTCGATAAAGCAAAATCTTACACATTCCTATATTTATTTCTCGAAGCAAGAAGAAATACCGTATAATAGATTGATGACCGCGCTATTTTTTGCACAAAGCAATAATCATTATATATTTGCAGATGTTTTCATCGTCGTTTTGATGATTACGAGGCAAATATGGGCGCGAGCAATGTTTGTACGAAATTGCTCGATTGCCCACCCAAGACAATCGCAATAGTTTCTCGTGATCCGCCGACCGCGAGAGCAAGTTGCCACTTGTGCAGCTGTGCGTGAACTTGACTTTTCAAACGCACGTACTTCTCGTTTCTTCCACGTGCCTTCCATGATAAGTGCACGATAATTTTATAGAGAACTCATTTGCGAACAAGCTTGATTTGCGATTGATGATGTTGCGATGAGGATGTATAAAAAGTATAAGGAGAAAAAATAATTCATACACACAGGTTTTAAGAAGATTATATGTCATACTGAAAAGAAATAAAAGAAACATTATTTAATTTAACACTTTATTTCACTTTGACACTATTTTTTAGTACATGACATAATAAAATCCCTAAATCGGACATAAATTTAATCGAAAGAGAGAAAAGCTCGGTAGAATAATTTCTGTTTTTCAATTTTAAGTTTTCAATTTTATAAACGACATAAGATATTGCAAAAGTAAGATTTTTTAATTGTATTCAACATATACTTCAATAGATTCAAGTTGAGGAAGAAAAAAGTGTGAGAGAATCATGTATTATTATTATCATAGAAAAACGGTTTTATGAATTTAGCAATTTTACGGGCGAATGTATTTTTTATTGCAGCGTTGATTTTTATATATATATAATTGATATTCTCTCATAACTGTAATATGGCATACAAGGATATGTATAGAGAACGATTAGTAGTATACATATGTCGATGTGGTATATTTTATGTCGATGATCAAACTCGAAAAATCGAAACTTTAGAATGTAAAGTAATATACAGATATGAGATAAGAAAATATCAATTGACTTTATAGACGTTATAAATTACAATAATACATATAATAGCTAGAAAATAAAATATAACGTATGCAATTATTATTTATTTAAAATTATTTTTTCACATATATTATTTATTTATTCGGACAAAATATACTTTAAAGATTATAATCAATTTTTTATTGTTAATAATTGTAAAATCTTGATATTATGTTCATTTTTTTGACTTGAGTTATATATATATTTCTTCTAATATTCTGTACAATCATACAAAATCTCAGTTATAATTAAAATAAATGTTTATAAATATTAATAAATAAATGTTTATAAATATTAATTTATAAATATTTGAATATTGAACTAACTTTTGGAAAAAATAATTTTTAAAAATAATTAAGAAAAATTCAATCTTAAAATAAAAGGTACAATAAAAAAATAATAAAAGACACAATTGTATATGATTATGATTCGGAAATATATGACAATCAGACTGATTTTTGTCTGTATCTCTCGTTATGCGATACTGGCGGAAACGATACGGCAATATATAAAAAAACATTCGCGTTTGCGTGTATAAGAAATAACTGTAAATTATATAAAGTAAGCATGGTGCGCGCTTATATACGTATACATCTTGTGGGAACGTGCGTAGACTTTCATGGAGGTGCTAGCCAGTATGTAGGTTTAGGTCGAGAATGCATTGATTATCGTTTTATGTGTCAAACTTACACCTACTCGATAGAATCATAATTGCTTCGTTAAGATAATCGCACACGAAAGACACGGCTGCGAACGTACGCATTGATGAATATTTTAATTTTTTAAAATATACGAATTTTTTAAAATATACATATATGTACATTTAGTTAAAATATTTATAACAAAAGCAAATGGGATCTTAAATAATTTATAGCATTATTTTATTGTCTGTTTATTATGACATCGATAAAGACAATTCGTTATCGTAATCCATTTCTACTTTCTATTTCCCATTTCGGCAATTTCAAACATTTTTATATATCGTAATTAAAAGTTATTAATTTCAATTTTAATTATACTATGTATTTAATATTAAATATAACACAATGATATAATTTTTAAATTTTTCATTAAACAAAATGTTAAAATACGATGACTATACAAATCTTTCGGAAAACATTTTGGGCATAAAAATAACATTCATCAATTTCATTGTTTTAAATACATAAAAAAAACACAAGTGAATAATAAAAATTATTAAAAGGTAGTATTGAATGAGAGGAAATGTAATTGCAATGATTTTTCATTCTTAAAAGGCTCGAGACACTGAAAGTATCCTCGAAGTTCAAGAACGATGCACCTAAACGATATCCGTATACCCGCGATTGTTCTCAACGTTAATTTAACAATCACTGGCTTACCTGAAATCAATTGTGCAACTTGACACTTTTCTATCTTCAACTGTTCCATAAAGGGATGCGGAATACAATTAAAGCTGGAGATTAACCTTACCGCATAAACCTGACCGCTATTTCCCAATGCTTATTATCAGACTATCTTGGAGATGTGCTCGACGAATGTACTTTCAGACAATCCTTTTGTTCGCGCACCGGTCTTCTGCATACGACGCGCTTACCGTATTGTCTGTGCATCTCTCAATTGTTTCGTACAAGATTCCGCGAGATACTTTGGGGCCGTGGTAACAGATTGCATGCAGAAGCTCGTTGAGATATCTCAAAACAACGTCACAAAATGCTTCGGGTACGAATTATGCCGACCACGAAGAATATTACATATGCATGAGAAATTCATTAGCGCATTGTGTTTCTGACGCATTGCGTACTCCCAAACAAGTAATCGAGAAATATTTTGCAATGATAATTAAATTAGATATCTCGCCTACACACTTATAATACTTATTATTTTTTCCTGAATGCATATATTTAGAATTTATTGATTGATGTTTATAACGTTGTAAAACGATTATCGAATAGAAAATGTTGATGCGAATCATTACGTATGACTCATTTATGAATGCAAAGAAGCCATTATCTCATGTAAAACACTTGAAACGCGCGCAAACGTCGCAAGGACTCTTTCAATTGTCGATTCTGATACAAAGAAGAATGCATCTTGTTGGTTGCCAAGCCGGATTCTTTGATTACACATAATTAAGACAAGTGCCAAGGCAATACATATCGAAGGTTACGCACATCGGTGTATTAACCGATAAAATTCTCACATTACGGTACAGTAAAACTACCGCAAGGCCGACAACTTGTTCGCGAATGGCATTTACTGCACATACAAAACTTGGCGGCCACGACGATGCTTGTCTGCATCTGCGTGCAATACGGCTATTCACCCGCAACGACGGTCGACCTTCTTTTTTATGCCAGATATGGCAATGAGCTACAACAATCTTCTCACAGAGAATTATCATTGCATCATTACGATATGCACTATGAAAAAGAAATAAAGCTTGCACGTTGCATATATGTAGATGCATGCCCAGTGCAATCATTTGTCCCTTTGTAATTATCTTGTCCTTGTGTTAAATCAATAGCTAATATGTCGTGTGTGATGTAATCTCATGTCTTCTATTACAATGTTCTCGTTAATCGGAACTGTAATCGAGCACTTCGTATAAAAAAATTGGAGTAATCAATGAATAGTTTGCTAGAAAGCAAGAATAATATTTATAATAATTAATTACCGGTATAATGTCGATTTTATATTTTATTTTATATTTTACATATTTTATATTATTTTATTTTATTATTTATCTTTCGCCAATTAAAACGAGCGTTAAAAAAATGTAGACAAGACTTTTCAACTTTTTGTTAATGATGTATGATTTTATGTAGAGGATTTTATTATGCACTTACAAAAGGGGGTTTGCAGTTTAATGTTTCTTGAATCTCACAGAATTTATTTATGTTGCGAAAAAGTTTAATTACCTTTCGACACACTTACGGGAATATGTCACTCCAATTTTAACAAGCATTTAATGATCAATTGTATTATTTATTCATCTGCAGTTCTAAACGTGGCTGGTGGCAAAGCGCCGATGCAGTCCAGTAGCGCGGAGAGCGGAATTCCTCAACGTGCCGTTGACGGAAGCAGCAGTCAGATTTACACACCGCAAACCTGCACCCTGACAAGGCCCGAGCGTAGACCATGGTGGTATGTGAACTTGCTGGAACCGTATATGGTTCAGCTGGTGCGATTGGACTTCGGCAAACCGTGCTGCGGTAAGTAATACTGTATATTTCTTTGCGCTTCGCCGCTTGCAAGAATTTTACCGTTTTGCGCCATAAAAGATTTTTTACAAATTAGGAAATAGTTTTAAACTCTATTCAATATTTAATATGTTGAATCTAATGCGCGTTTCATAAAAATATTGATCATTTTAAACAAATAGCAAATTATAGGCAAATAATCTTTTGAAGGAAGAAGGTAAAAGTATTAGGCAAAAATAGATAGAACTTTAAGACATTAAAAGATCGTTGGAAATAATATAATCGACCAAAACTAGCCAGAAATTTTTTGTTTATTGATTACAACAAAAAATTTCTGGCTAGTTTTGGTCGATTATATTATTTCCAACGATCCTTTGATTAATTGACTAGCGATATTAGGATAATTTATGTTGTTTAAGACATTAGTGTAATTTTAATTTTTTCAGAAATATATTGCATATATAATAAATGTAAATAAACACGCGCATACTCAAATCAAATTAAAAATCTTACTTTATAGCTCAAAAAATAAAAGTTTTTTTTATTTATCTACATTATTGAAATTTAATTTCTATTCTAACAATTTAGAAAGTTTTCGAATTTTATATTGAACAACATTAAAAAAAGAATGCATAAAGAAAAGATGACTTGCTTTCTATTAAGTGCTATTCATTATGTTCTGAATTAAAAATTGTTTAAATTTTAATTTCGTTAGTAGTATGTAATCAATTACAATTGACTAAAGAATTTATATATAAGAAAAATAGAAAACATTTTAATCAAACATTTTTTAGATATTTTTAAGAAACACATTTTTTATATATTCTTTATATATAATAATAATAATTAGATTTAACACTAATTACTAAGAATAGAATAATCAATGCGTTAAAATATAAAATTAAAAAATCTTAGTGGGAAAGTTAAAGTTGTCTTTAAATAAAATCTGCTCTGTTTTAAATTGTATGATGAACCGTTGATATTCTTTCTAGCAAGACATAATCATTCGATGATCAACGATAATTGAACATTTGCCATTTATCCGATGATTTTATCAAATCATCTATTTTCTTTATAATGTCATTCTCACGGATATTGAATCCGATACTCATTACGATATTATGTCTCTCGATGAATTCGATAAAAAAATCGATAAAAAACGACCAAGAGCTATCCGCGCATTATAATTTTCTAGAAAATGATATGTTCTGAAGTTGTTACTGATAAACGCGGATGATAAAGCCTCTCGTTTATGAATTTTAATGCGAAACTTATTGTTGAGATAGATACTGTAAATATCCTGTTCGTCATCCGGTACTTTCGTTTCCATGACGCGTTTTCTCGACTTTCTATCGATAAATAAGCATCACCGGCAATTACGTGAAGTAATTCCCGCTGGCGAGATGAATTTGCGATTGCGTTGCTCAGAAGCAAGTGCGAATGCAAAGCAAGCTGAGCATGAAGCCTGACGTTGTCCATCTCTGCATGAAACATGATCAGATCAGATATAAATTAAGTGAACAACTTATTTTTACGTGCGATTTTTCTAAAAAGTATGAAAGTATAGATGATACTAATGCTGCATCTCTCGCCTTCTTCTTTTGGATCTTGAAACTTGCCTTTCGCTTAAAAGAAATAGAATTATACATAGCTTTTTGATAGTTAATGCTAAACTGAATTACTTAATTAAACTACTTAATGCAAAACTGTTCGCGTTTTGCGGTCGCGATAAATCTCGACACGATCCATTCTCTGAAGAAATCGATGCTTCAACGAGCATTCGATCTGAAATTATGATTGCGGATGATGAATCGCCTGGGGCCTGAGCCTCATGATGCTTTCGATAGTTAAAGTAAATCGCTCGAGAGTCTTGTCCACGGATGACGGAGTCGCGGAAAAATCGTTTCGCAAGCGAGGCGTAAAATCCCACCGTAAAATTCGCACTTCCTTCCCTTTTCTCCAACCCGGTCGAAGGCCCTGCCTGCATGTGAGATCGTTTAGAAACTCTTCCACGATGAAAGTGAGAGTCTTTCTACTTTCAATTGTTAGAAAATCATCGCGATACGTTTCTCGCGGTACGCCGCATACATTTTTCAGCAGCGTTTTATTAAGAAACGCGAACTCTGTCATCAATCAAACTGAAAATTACCGCGGACATTCAACTCCGGAAACATCCCATCACTTTGACAACTTTCTTCTTTTAAAAACGTGCTTTCAAATCTGTCGGTACAATGTATAACAAAATACAGCATCGTATACGTAATTAAATGTATAATTACTTTTACATAAAAAGAAAAGATTTTCGATCTGATCGCAGCTTTCGCTATTCGATTTTGGCGATTGTATTTATTTTCTTCTTCACTAATTGACCTCCGTACGACATTTAAAAACTCGTATTGTCATTTCGAAAGTTTATTCATTTCATTCGCCGTTCAATCGAACGAGGGGAAACTTTCACCGTTAAACGGCTGATAATAATGGCATTGTCGACACATTGAACATACGCTATTCGCATAAACGGGGGCAAAGAAGAACATTTAATTAAAAACGTTTCATTGCACTTCCTGGAAAAACGTTCCCAGCAGTTCCTTTCAGAATAAAAACATTTCCGTCCTTTGGCGAGTCTCTCATCCGATAGATTAACGAGATCGTGTTTAATTTTATATCTGAAGAGGCAATTTTGAATAATCATCACGGGAGCGAGGTGAATGACTAAATCGTATTAATCTCGATATAATCGTAGTGGATTGTTAACGACTTCCGTGCCGCTCGCGTAAATTCTTGTAGATAATCTGCATAATCGGAGAAATGAATTATTCAAGTGCGATAATTTTGACGATCGGCTTTTGTGTGCCTCGCAAATAGATACGTGCGCGATAGACAGGGAACAATGACCGGTATAACGTGGCCCATCTCAAGCAGCTATTTAGTTACGGCCCAGCACCGACGAGATCATTGCTGACGATCATTCTTGATCTACCGACTCCAGCCAGGGCTTATAATTAAATAGACAGCGCATTACAATTGCTTCGGTTCCTCTGCGCGAAAGAGCAACTTTCACGTCATGCTTCAGCAGCGAAAAAGAATCGTTCAATTTTGATAATAAATTTTTTTTGCACACCTCTTGTGCATTATTGATGTTCACGCACGTCTATATTGTCATTCGCAATGTATTTAATATAAATTTAAGAAATTATATTAATAATATCGAATGTATAATGCTTATTATAAGTAATGTGATGATGCTTTTCTTTTGAAAATTTATTCTAGAATATTAATATTTTTAAGAAATTAAGATGTAAGAGATTAGGCTTTATCGATACAAATAAAAAACAAAATTTATACACTTGAGTAAAAAATAATTTTCCGAAACTCAAGTTTTATTTTTTTATTAAATTTTAATTGAAGGAAAAATTAAAACTTTTGAGTTCCTCAAAATATTTTGCACATAACACGAAATGCCATGAAGTGAAGGACAAAGCTGGATAAAATGTGCAATCAAATTGATGAGCATGATTAGCAATCAATATTCATGATTAATAATAAATTGTTTTTTATAGATATACGGATTTTTTCGTTTCCTTATGTGACACTTGGCAAAAAACACGATAGTTTCTTAATTTTTTCTCGATGTTATGAGTTTCTCTTTTATCTTACATTGCTCCTCGTTCATGCGCTACATGTTCACGCACTCATTAGAGGCGAGAATAGAGACTTGCACGTACAATAAGAAAGTATGTACGTGCCGCGTGTATGTATCTTTTAATGCGAGTTTGAGCCAACTCGAGAGACTGTCGTGCTAGTTCAAATCTGCAATCATGATTGCAGGAACAAAACATGAAAAGCATGTAATTGCGCGATTTATAACTACAAACGGGCGGATGGACGGTTGTCCATAGCCGGTCACAGTCGGGATATTTTCTGGGTCAGAAGATATAGCGCGCCGGATTACTTGAGATGATTTTGTGTCCAAATACTATATTTGTGATTAATCGCTGTAAAATCCACCTTTTCTCGACTTACATTAGCTCGAGTATATATAATGCGATTAAAATTTATTTAGACAATATAAAAATACATTCTTGTATGATATTATCTGGTTTCTATATCATATTATTTTTACAGACTGTTGCTAAAAACTAATAAAAGTGCATAAAAATGCATTAAAAAATAAATGCAGATATGAAATTAATTAATCTAATTAATTAAAGTGTCACGTCTTAATCATTTTGTGACAATTTTATTATCTGAAACTGGATTATATTATATCCCAATAAAATTATTATATTAAAAAAAGTAATATACAATGTAGAAAATAGTATAATACAAAGTAGAAAAAAAATTATATAAAATATTGGTAGTAATTTTATATATTAAGCTAATTTACACACACACACACAGATATGAAAATAAATTATTAATTAGTGATTTTATATATATAAATAGATAGATATTTTAAAACAGAAAATTATGACACGGATGTAATGAAATAAAACTTGAATGAACTATAAATTGTATAGAAGCTGCTCTCTTTTACACAATATTTGAAAGTCATGTTTCATCTAAAAGAAGATCTTTAATTTAAATCTACTAAATATTAATTTCATGCTATTATTATAATATTGACACAGGTTAAACTTTTATATTATTAATGTTTATCGTTAATCAGAGTCTACAAATAAACTTGTTATATAATGATGGTTATTGTTTAATCTATAATTTTTTGAATTCTCCTTTGTGAAACATTTCCATTAACTTATGTATTTTAATTCATAAAATAATCCAAACTAGTGTATTTTATCTTTGTAATAATCTGTGATGATATTTTGTATAATATAAAAAATGCTTGAGAAAATATTACTAAATAAAAATAAAAATACGAAATAAAAATATTACTAAATGAGCTTTAATAAGTAAATCATTTAATCGATTTATAGGTGATAATATTCCCGGCACAATCATCGTTCGAGTCGGTAATAATCGACCAGATTTAGGAACGAATCCTATTTGCAATCGGTTCACCGGTATTCTAGAGGAAGGACAGCCTCTTTTCTTGCCGTGCAATCCGCCGATGCCCGGTGCTTTTGTCTCGGTGCATCTGGAAACTGCATCGAGCGATCTCGTGCAGCTGTCCTTATGTGAAGCATTCGTCTATACTGATCAGGTACATTCAACAGTTATATGATAAAACTTTTAAATTATAATCCAGAATATGAAAAGAAATTTTTCTTTGTTCTTCTACAATGGTGATTTATTGCAAAAATGAATGCAGGCTTTGCCGATCGAAAGATGTCCTCAATTCCGGGATCAGCCACCAGGCTCAACGGCAACTTATAATGGCAAGTGTTATATATTTTACAATAGTCAGCCATTGACATTCAGAGAAGCTTTAAATTTCTGTCACGACCGACACGGCACTCTCGTGGACGAGAGCAATCCTGCTCTACAAGGATTCATCTCATGGGAGTTATGGAGACGACACAGGTAACATGAAAGCATTTAAAAAGATGTCATTTTGAAAAGTAATTCTAAAGAATTTTTTTTTCAAGAAATATAAGACAGCACTAATATAACTAACTGATAGAAACATTTCATTAGCATCTTATTTCTACTTTATTGTTTTTATAATATAATGACTAAAATTAAATATTTCCACATAAACTCGGAACATTTTCAGAACTTTCCGGATATAAAGCCATTTTTAAAGTGAATAATTCAAGTGTTTTATAGTCAATCACAGAATCAATTAGAGAATATATTACAGTTAGATTCTTGCTTATTAATAATGTGTTAGAGAATATATTATTTTTTTAGAAAATAATGAATTAAATAAAATAATTAATATATAATAATAAAATATGTATATAAATATATTTAAAATATTTAAAATTAAATATTTAATAATTTAAATATTTAAAATTAGATCTGTAGAAAATAATAAGATATTTCATCTTTAATCATTGATAAAGGAGTGACACATCCAGTCAATATTGGATGGGCGCAGTTAGGGATCAAAAAGATCGAACAATATGGAGGTGGATCGGAAGCGGCGCAGTAGTGTCTATCTCGTTCTGGGGTACACCGCAGGGCACGGAAGACGATTGCGCTCGGTACGATGGCAGCAGAGGCTGGCTTTGGTCCGATATATCTTGCTTAGCACGACTTAATTACATCTGTCAACATCGTAAGTCTTCCAATATATCCGCAGTCTTTATAATTTATATCTTTTAAATTATATTTCGGAAAAGATGATTTGTGTAACTACATATGAAATCTTATATTCTATATCTAATCAATATAATAAAGTCATACAATGTATATGATAAAAGCTTTCTTTGGCAATATTTTATTTTATTTTTTAAAATAATGTACTGTGTGAAGATCTAAGATGAAACTCATATGAGATAAATTTCTAGAGAAATTAATTGTAACTTATTGATTGATTAAATTTTTCTAAAATAAATCTCCCTTTTGAAATTCATATATCTCATATTGTGTTTGCATTTAAATTCTTTAATCAATCCATTATTATATGTTCGATATCTCACTATATATTAAGCTTACATATATTCTTTTATTAAAAATGATTTTTTGTCGATTAAAATAATAATAATATTTTGCTCTTTTTAGAACCAAAAGCTTGCGGCAGACCTGAGCAACCGCCAAATTCTACGATGACGGTGACTACCGCATCAACCAGGACTCCTAGTAACGTGTACAAAGTCGGAACATCGGTGGAATACAGTTGTAATGTGGGTAGTCTTCTGATTGGACCGGCAACTCGTACTTGCCTCGACACTGGTTTTTACAACGAGTTTCCGCCAGTGTGCAAAAGTAAAGAACACAACTGTTATACAATTGCACTCAGACGAAATCACTATGAATGCGATTCACAATGTAATGCGTTCTGATCGTTTCAGGTATTGAATGTGGTTATCCTGCGAGCATAAAACACGGTGGCTATACGCTCATCAATAACACCGTTAATTATCTCAGTCAAGTGCTTTACTCCTGCGAGGAGGGATACGAGATGACCGGTAAGCATTATCGCAACTCGATACCTTTAATTATGCGCAATGTGTTCAAAAGAGACTTTGTGAACATCTTATATAAATCTATAAAAAATCATTTATAAAGCTAATCTGCAATCGCAGGTCGCGCCCGATTGACTTGTGATATCGACGAGCGTTGGAATGGACCACCGCCGCGATGTGAACCGATTCTTTGCGACCCACCGGCTATAGTTGCGCATAGTTCTGTCCAAATAGACGAGATCGATGAGAATGGAAGTGTTTCATTAAAGAACTTCAATCGAAGTCTGCTAGTTGGTAGCATCGTTACTTACACATGCGAAAAGGGTTATCGACTTGTTGGTTCCCGACAAATACTCTGCTTAAATACCGGATTGTACGATCACGTCGCACCTACTTGCATAGGTATTTGTTATTTTTATTTAATTTTATAATGAAGATTATGATATATATTTAATTATATATATTCAACATATGGATTTTCTTTTATTAGAAGAACCACGAACAACCGTGACCACTACTACTCGAGCGACGATACGGTCGTCGACACAGAAAGTTCGGCCATATCTTACCTCAAGAATCAGGACCACGACAAGCTCGACAACAGTTGCTACCAGTACAACTTCCTTGCCAGTTAGAAAAGTGTCTAATACCGCGGAACTTCCAGCTACAGTGAGGGAGACCATTTCGAAAAGACCGAGCGTCGGCCTGAATAAACCCACATTACCTTCACCGGTAATTAACGACGCTAGTAATGATCATCCGCAGGACAATGAGATATCCGGAAGCGGTGTGGATCATGCTCAAGCGGGAATCGGCGCAGTCGTACCGGAACCTTCCGGCCCCTTCCGAGTTGACGAGCAGCCTAGCAGTGCTCATCAGGCCAAGTTGAATTTAGGTGCCGTGATCGCCCTGGGAGTGTTCGGCGGCTTTGTGTTCCTTGCCGCAGTGATCACAACAGTGGTTATACTTATACGCAGGTAAAAAAATAACGTCTTATCGAGTGATTCAATTTCGAGGATTATATTGCCCGCACATCCACTTCCGCGAATCTTTGCTATCTCTGATGATATAACTCTGATATACATAGACGATGTTCGGTCAGATTGTACATTGTAATGCTTACTTTGTATTTGTATTTGTTTGATCTACTTTCTATTCTCTGTTCGTTTACCTCTATCTCCTTCCTAACTTGTAATACGTACATACATGCTGCATTATCTTTCCTCTCGTAGAGGATTTCGCTTGTATAATGAGTCGCGTGTACATGTCTCTTGAATAACGAGTTTTCTAACATTCTGCAATATCATCGCGGATAAAATCGTGCAAAGATAACAGTATGTCCCTTTTGTCCCTTCATTCATTGATCATAAGCTTACTGTAATTTAGCCCAAACTTTTAATAGATTACGCTTTGCAAAAAGAAGTATATTTTCTCTGATTGATCTATAATAATTTTATTTAATTTATTATTGTCCATTAAACCAATGGTTCTCAACGCAAATCATCATGAATCACGGCATATTTTGTATGCATATACGTACAAGTAATGTAAAAGACACAATGTCAAACATTATGATAAATTTTTCAACAGATTAATGGAAATTTATTCTGCCAATTGACCATTTGAAAGCTAATGATTAAAATAGTCACAAACGCAGATAAAAATAACTCGGAAAATGGTAATGACTAAAAGAAAAGTTGAGAAACACTGGTGTAAATACATTACGAGATCTAACATGTAAGAGAGATGCGCGCGAGTCCCGTAGATTGTCTTGTCCACCACGATGATTATTAACACTGAGTCCATTTATGCGTTGCGGTGGTTAGCGGCAACGGCAGCGTCAGAGGAAGGCGCCGCAGGGGGCTCGGTGGGGTTGGTGCGCTGAGGGGTGGCGGTAGTGGTGGCCTTGGGAGGGGCGACACCGGAATGCCCTCGCGTTGGTATACGCTACTCGCGCTGCCCTTCCCCGACCAGCACCTGGGGCGCCGCGACCTCACGGCTCGCCGCGGTAGCGATCATCCCTATTCCTTCAGCCTTTCGGCGGCTCATCGTGCCGGCTACTTCTCGAATCCCTCTCTGTAGACTATTATCGCCGCCCCTCCCTCTCGCCTCCACCGCCGAAAATGAGAGAGAGAGAGAGAAAAAAAAAAGAAAAAGAATCGCTCCCCTAACAAAGCCCGCAACCACTACTACCACCCCAACCCTCCACGCAACCACCGCCCACCAACACATCAACCATCATCACGTACCACCACCAACTACCACGCGCCACCCTTCGCGAGTGATACTAGTCAAGGTAAACGAGAGCAAGGTTTCTACTGAGCACTTTCTTTTAGCGATAACTCGTTTTGCCATCACGTCGCATCACGTTAGATCACGCCTATGGAATTAGAAGTGCATTGTAGTGCATTGCACTCACGCGGACACACCGACACTACACCCAATTTGGATGGAAAAAAAATCTCGCGTATATTCAAGTGTTCTAGAAGGTAGTCATATGTTCGGAACGAATATGAAATAATGTCTAAAAAATATTAACAGTTTAAGTAATTTAAAATTAAATAATTAAATAGATACTTTTACAATGTCTCATGGTTTATTTATATTATATTATATTCTCTGGAAAATCATTTTATTTTTTTGTCTCATTTCTTGATAATTTATGAAATGAAACAAAATTGCATGTGACTACGATCTAGAAATCCCGAGTATCAAATTGCACAGAATAATCACGGCAGAATTTAGTTATGTACATATTGTACTCTTCTTTTTTTCTTATCTGTATACACTTTATACACTTAATTACATTATCTCTTTAAAATTGCACTAGTGTATTAGTTGTTAGATATTTGTGTTATATATCACTCGACATTCACGAATTTTTCAATATATCTTTTAGAATTGCAATGTTAATATATATATAGTGCTCACTTTCTTTTCTAGCTATTTATCTTCATCTTTTTATCAGCGAATTGAAAATTGCTTCAAGCTGTAATAAAAAAAATATATATATTTTAAATTTTGACTTATATTTAATGTGCATTCTAATCAATGCTTACTTTCAAATTCATTAATAGATCACCTAAACTTTATACCTACAAAATGCATGTCACTATGAACTATACATGTGAATGAATAATAAATCACACGAATAATCGAATTGATTATTTTTCCATTACACATAACGCTTTGCCTATCTATGTACGCCTATATATGTTTAGTGCTATACAATAGAAATGATATGTAATTAAAATGTGATAGTTTGACATTTAGAAAAGGATTATTAACACATTTATCTTCTTATATCCTTATTTAGAAACCGCGGAAGAAGCAGTAAACACTATCGTCATCGTGCATCACCCGATTGTAACACCGTTGCCAGTTTCGATAGCAGTTCCTCGGAAAGTAGAGGAGGTCTGAATCGTTATTATCGTCAAGCCTGGGAGAATCTGCACGAGACCACCGGTCACAAAACCAGCCATCCGCCGCTTCATCGTAAGGAGACCCTGGATGAACCAGGATATCGAGAGAACTTCCGCGGTAATAACAACACTGAGCGCGATGGTTCGGAATTAGTCGTTAGCGATGTCGCCGCTTACCCATCAAGCAAACATGCCAGCATCTCCGATAAGAAGCGTCATCATCATCATCATCATCATCATCACGGCAACGCGACACCTGATTGGAGACAATCACAGTCTCACCACCGATATTAAACGGAAGGTAAAACTATAAAACATAAAAAAATACTTTATCATTGAAACGTATTCGCTACATCACCATTTGCGATCATGTAGATGATGATTTGTAGAGAGACTGTAGTGAACATTTTCACAATTCTGTCGCGGGTCAAAAGATCTTCCTTAAATGAGGGAGCATAGCGAATCTTCCACTAACAAGTTGTATCTAATAATGAAATTGAAAATAAGAATAGCTGAAATAGATCATATATCATTTTAATATATTATAAATATTATTTATCGTCATGTTATTTTATATATATGAAATGTGTAAATATTATATACATTATAACTTAAGAATAAGATACGATGGATTGTTACTCGTCGTAAGGAGGGTAGTATAAGCTGGTCAAGAGATATGCCAAAAAAAGCACAAAAGTATAAATATAAAATAACGCGATCAAACGAATATATAGTAATTTAACCCTTAAAGATAAGTTATTGTAGGATTGAAGTTTGTGTAATTTCTTACACATTTGAAAAGAGATTTATCTAATGAAAAATCGGATTGGCAAAATTTATATCTGTGTCATGGGTACCTTGGCCTCACTTTAAATGGATCACTGTTTCCAGAAAAACGGAATACTGTATATAAGTATCATTAAGGAAAGGCCGATGTTATCCATCTAGGAATAAAACAAATATTATAATAACTGTTGTGCGTGTCTATACAAGTAAACGCGAGGAAACGAAGACAATTATATATTTAATTATAACAATTATATATTTATATATATTTAAATCGTGGATCGCTGTTATACCTCCAATATATGCTACTTTCTCTACTGAGAGTTTGTATTATATAAATACGTAACATTTAACGATAGTTTTTATCTATGAAGTATATTTATCAAATTTATTATATTAAAATATAATTAAGAAATAATGCAATTATTTGCAATAACAATTTTATTTATTGACTGAGACAATTACATGCGACATGACATATATGTATATGCATCTTTATGATTTTATTTATCATAATAAATTATGATAGTGCCATTTGGGGCAAACTTGTTTAATCTATTGAAAAAGCATTTTTGTCACTTAAACATGGTACTTAATAAATATTAGCGCATATATTTGTATATTATATATATGCGAATAATATTAGATTTAATATTACATTGTATAAGAATTTAGAATAAACAATTCATAAAAAATTCATATTTATATGAATATATATACATATTTTATACATATATATACATATATATACATATATAAATATTTTTTATTCTACGAGAGAAGTAACAAAAATAATAAAAGAAAAAAAGATCAAAATGCATTTTCTCTAAATATTCGCGATATTAATAATTGTATAAAATAATTTGGAAAATTGACATTTTTAATGATATATTGATTTAAATATTGATGCGATATATATATTGTTTATCATTATCATATATATGATGTTTTACACGATGGTGTGTATATTATACGAATTTTTTAGCCATTCTTTAATTAAATTTTTTATTTGTATTCTAGCCTTCTTCAATTGAGGCATATCATTTTCCGATGAAGGATACATGTTTGCACAATGTGCAGTGCCTTCAAATAAATTAATAATTAAAATAATGCACATATATATGTATAATAAATATCTATAGTTTATATTTTACTTACCATCGATATAGATAGCAGGTGCTTGCGGATTGGAGGATGTCGTAATACCTAGCACATGCCAAGGATCGATTGAACCGTGTACAAATACTACATTTGTAACTTTTAAATTTAATCCACCATATAAAATATTCGTTCGGGTCACAGCAGAGTTCAATAAATCTATATTGTATCTGAAAGAAAAAAAGAACTTTATTGTTATTTTAACATTTTGTACGTAAATTACATTCAAAATATTTTATAGAAATTTTAAATGGAAAAACAAACCTAGGTCCAAAAATATCAGTGCATTGCTGTACAAAAAAGTTTACTGGGAAGTTATTACTGAACAAATTAGGCTGTGCAGTTGAAGTTTGAAAGAATCCAAACTCTGTACAAGTTTGATACATCCATTGACGTCCTACAAATAATATCATTTATGATCTATATAATATTATACAAACATTTGCAGGAATAAAATAATTTAAAAATTAAATTCATATATAATAAACTTAAATGTATTACCTCCTTCTGCTTGTTCATTAGTCCAAGTAGTATTTCGAAGCTCGCGAATCATCTTATCATATCTATAATCCAAACACTTCTCTTTAGTGGCATTTAATATCATGTTGCTTACATAAGCAAGTCTATCGATAGGTATTCCTATTTTCTCATCTACTAATATATCACATACATTTTCAATAGTGATATTAAGAGTTTGGGAGCTTTGGCGATTGTCTTTATTATATTGTACAATGCTAGCAAAGTTATCTGCTAATGTTTCATACAAATTGGAAATGTCCAATTTTTTTGTATGCCCAGGATCAATTGGGTCGCATAATCTGTGGAATATTATTTATATTAAAAAACAGCACATCACATTTTATTAAAATTCTATACCTTTACTATATTTACTCACTTGAATTTTTTTTCTATTTTCTGTTGGCTACCAACATGACGCAACAATATACCTAATTCTCTGTAAGCTTCTGCTATTGTGTCAACACATTTTTGAGAATAATCTTTCAGAGCATTTGCAACAACAACAAAATATTCTGTAATTCAAAATTATTTGTATACACATATATTTAAAATAGCACTAGTTAAAATTTTATATATATTACCTTGAAAATCAATTTGTGCTAACAATGGTCCACTAGTAGACACAGCTCCATGTACTAAATGAGGATATTTAATACGCATCCAAGCAGCTAGAGATCCACCATATGATCCTCCAAATACTATCCATTTTGTGTTATTTGAAAATTTGTATTCAATATTAATATTTTGAATAAAGTATGCTAAGTCTGCTAATGCCTGCTGCGAGTTCAAATATATCAAATTCTTCACACTAAGATCCCTGCAATATATTTGCAGCATAATGTAAATTTCTAATTCAAATAATTTTCTCTTGCATTCATTTATTTATATTCTACATACGGAGTAGGATGACTGTTCCCATAAAAACGATGCTCTAAATAAAAACACATTGCCCCAAACTCCTTGGCATATTCAATCCATTGACCTTCTACCATCCATTTAACATTTGCGATACCTTCAGCCCCAATCATTAAAAATATTGGGCCATTTGGTTTATAAAAGTTGGAATTGACAAAATATTTCTATCAAGAAGTAAGAAATCAATGCAACTAAATATAATCTTATCAAAGTTTACTTGAAAAGAAACTTCAACAAAAGCTAATAAAATTTAATGAACTGACAAATATAATGAAATCTTTTCTTGTATATAGTACCTGCTCCCAAACACGGGCATCGGTTGGATTAAAATGATCTAAATATTGTGTAAACCATTTCTCCTCAGGAAGCATATATATTTTAGATGATAATGTTGGCTCTCCTAAATTGCCATATTTGTTCCGACCTCTCAAGAAAGTACGCCATGCTGTACTGGTATTTATGGCACTCAAAATAATTGGTAATAACAGTAGAAGTTGCATATTAAGATGCATTTGAATTACTTTTATTCTTCAATATAAATATAATTCTGAAAGAAAAAATGGATAAATATTAATATAATAAATAAAACTTTATACACCTTGCTATTATAATACAGACATATATTTCTGATAGAAATTTTGATAAATACAATACAAGATTAGATTTACACAAAGAGAGATAAGATATAAAATTAAAGCATGTATAAAATTCTCTTACAATTGAGATTATTTACTTGTAATAACAAAGAGAAGATTGTAAAATGTCAGATTATTATAGACTTTGCAGTAAAAAATTTGAAACATACCTTATGAAAGATTAATTTGTGCGAGGAATGTACTGATAATGTAAACACAAACATCTGTTCAAGGACTTGCCCCAGAATTTTAAATCTAGAATATATATATCCGTATTTCAGAGAATATATATATACATTTTTCAAGAGGAAATATATATATACTTTATACGTATATGGTAAGAAATAAATGTGTTTTTAGAGAACAAAGAAAATTTCAGAATAATGACATTGGTTCGATCTTTATAATATGAATAAGAAACGTTGCTGTAGAGAGCTGTAAAAACCGAGGATGACAAGACTTCGAGTTATACATAAGTAAGTCGCGTGTGACGTCTCGTGAGCTGCCCAGCCGTCTCGCAAATGATCATATGACAAGTGTCATAGCAAGTTGATCTGTGAGAAACACAATTATTTTAATTAATTGTCTTTATGAGAGTGCCTCTGCGTGATTCTCCAAGAACTTTGGTTAGCTAGATCAACGACTCGGTTAATGGATAATGCGTGATAAGGCGAGCTGGAGAAATTCTCTTGGCAGTCGCAGACTCTTCTTGCCGGCAAACGCCAAGTAGTATCTTTTATCTCTTCCCAGATATTACGGTTGACTAAATATTTATCACGCCAAACAGCAGTGTTTAATAAACCGTTTGATCGACCGCCGCCGACAAAGTTCCTCGGTTTGTTATAAATGTTATCTATAACCTCTCTCAGGATTTAGATCGGTCGAGACGAGTACCAAGAAAGTTTCAAAGCTCATCAGTTTCTATAGGTACGTTCTTTACATGATTTCTCTTATTATTTTATGTCATTTGTCATCTTGAGTTCCAATGTGTATAATTAATTTTATTCGTATCTTTTTCTTACAGATAGTTCTACTACTGTGTAGAAGGCAACATGAAGTTTGCAGAACATTTATCTGCCCACATTACGCCTGAGTGGCGTAAACAATATATTAGCTATGAGGTATAATTTAATTAAGTACAGATATTTTAATTTTTTTAGCTTATGTTGCTATTAAATGCACTTGTGAAGCAAACTTATCCAAATGAAATCTTAGTATTATTAGTATTACACAGACCTTCTTTCTTGTTTTTAATTGCTATTTTTTTGATTTTGCAGGAAATGAAAGCAATGCTTTATACAGCGGTAGAAGAGGCACCCTCGGATGAGAGTGTAGAACCAGAAGTGATATCGCGTCACTTTGCTTCATTTGATGAAGTGTTTTTTACATTCTGTGATCGTGAATTAAAAAAGATAAATACATTTTACTCAGGTAAGAATTTGTTTAATACTAATATTGTTTTTCATGATTTTATGACTTTTCTATGAATAATTATATTAATTATTATTTATTCATATTGTAGAAAAATTGGCAGAAGCCACACGCAAATATGCAGCACTACAAAGTGAATTAAAAACTGCAGTGGAGCTGCAACAAGGAAGTGGAAAGAACAAAGGAAAGACTAATGTGAAACCAGTTTTGCCTTCCAGAAAGCTTAGAGATCTAAAACTTGCATTTTCAGAATTTTATCTGTCTCTAATTCTTCTTCAGAATTATCAAAACCTTAATCACACTGGATTTCGCAAGATTCTCAAAAAACATGACAAGGTATTTATATTGCAATATTTGCATGTTTTTGTAATTTAACGTTTATTAGTCATAGCTTGTATAATTTCAGAGACAACAATCTAATCATATCCCAATATCATTATTACCATTTTCTCCTATAAATGAAAAAAAATGTGCAAGAAACAGCTGCCATATAATAGCTATATTCCCTGTATTATTCAAGTAAAAGCCAGTAATTGTCTAATGTGATTTGTGTTTTTATTTTATATATAGTCTTCAAGTTCTAATATTTCCGTTATGCATTAAAAATATTTTCAGTTACTCTCAGTCGACGCTGGTTCAAAATGGAGAGTTGAGTGTGTAGAGACGTCACATTTTTACACGTCCAAAGATATAGACAAATTGATACAAGAAACAGAAGCCACAGTAACAAATGATCTCGAAGGTGGTGATCGACAGCGCGCTATGAAGCGTCTTCGAGTACCACCGCTTGGCGAATATCAAAGTCCATGGACTACTTTCAAAGTTGGTTTATTTTCTGGTAGTTTTATTGTTCTGTCTATTGCAGTCGTCCTTTCAGGTATATCATAAATAATATTTATGTTATTAAAGAGAATTACTATGTATTCATATCTATATTTACCATTTATTTTGCTATTTCAAATCTCATTTTCAGCAATCTTCCATGATAGTGGAGAAAATTTGAAGGTCGCATTTAGATTATATCGTGGTCCATTCCTTATTATCGAATTTTTATTCCTTATTGGAATTAACGTTTATGGGTGGAGATCTTCTGGTGTCAATCATGTTTTGATATTTGAATTGGACCCACGAAATCATCTTTCAGAACAGCACCTTATGGAATTAGCAGCTGTCCTTGGAGTTGTCTGGGCGCTTAGTTTATTAAGTTTCTTATATAGTGCAAGCCTAAGCATTCCACCATACATAAATCCATTAGTACTTGTCGGCATCATGGTGATATTTCTAATAAATCCGATTAAGATTTTTCGCTTTGAAGCTCGTTTCTGGCTGTTGAAGATTATAGTAAGTATAATTTGCGGAACATTGCTTTTCTCTCTCGTTATATGAATGAACAAAAGTTGAATATAATCCTTTGTGTTATTTTAGGTGCGGATTTTAATATCACCATTTGCATACGTAAATTTTGCTGATTTCTGGTTGGCTGATCAGTTCAACAGCTTGGCGACAGCGTTTTTGGACTTTCAATTTTTACTATGTTTTTATATTATGAACGGGAATTGGTTACAAGCAGGCGATTCTATGCAATGTATGTCTGGCTCCCTCATTATCAGACCTATCGTAAATTGTCTACCCGCGTGGTTTCGCTTCGCGCAATGTATTCGTCGATATCGAGATTCCAAAGAAGCTTTTCCACATTTGGTGAATGCTGGAAAATATTCCACAACTTTTCTCGTCGTTGCAGCTAGTACTTTATACGCTTATCATGCAGGTAGATTGCATCTGCATTACAATACTTTAAAAATGTATATTTTTATATGCATATCAATTAATTTGAAAAGAATTTAAATATGATTTTTGTATAAAATAATTGTGTATAATTTTATAAAAATTATATTTAATAAATAAATTCTTTTCAATTATATTTAATAAATAAATTCTTTTCAAATTAAAATTTTTAATTTTTTGTAAAATAAAGAAACAATGTACATATTTTCAGAAGAATATACAAATCAATGGGAGAATCCATGGCTGTGGTTATGGGTATGCAGTTGCCTCCTTAATTCGATATATTCATATACATGGGATCTCAAAATGGATTGGGGTCTTTTAGACAGTAATGCTGGCGAAAATCGTTTTTTGCGCGAGGAAATGGTTTATTCGGCTTCCGTAAGTAAAACATATTTAACAAAAAAAAAGTATTAGTTTTATATGTAATTTAATATTTATATATGCATTTTATAAAATATATGTACATATATTTTATATATATATGTACATATATTTTATTTATATATTTTATATATATTTTAGTGGTTTTATTATTTTGCAATAATCGAAGATTTTATACTACGATTTATATGGATCGCAAGCGTTATTCTCGTTGAATGCAAATACATCTCTAGCGACTTAATGACTTCCATTGTGGCACCTCTTGAGGTTTTTAGGTAAATATTCTCTTTAAATTTATTTGACAAATTTTTTGTATCTTCCTATTTTATTGTAAAATTGTTTTTAGACGATTTGTATGGAACTTTTTCCGCTTGGAGAACGAACATTTGAATAACTGTGGTAAATTCCGTGCCGTACGCGACATCTCAATAGCACCCATAGAAAGTTCTGATCAAACGCAAATTTTACGCATGATGGATGACGAAAATGGCGTAGTTAATAGAGGTAAGCGTAAAAGCGGCGGCAAAAAACAGAGCAATACAAAGGAAGAGAAACGAGCGCTGTTGAAAGAAGAAACCTTAGACATTGATATATCGAATGCAAGTTGAATACAACTCAACATTTTTGTACAATATTATTTTTAACTTGTCGTAATTACAGGCTGTTATTGGAAGCGTCTGAAATTTAGTACTTAGACAATAGATAAGTCACACGATTTCGTTAATGACACATATTTGATTTCGCTAGAAATCGAGATATAGATAATTATAAAATGCTTCAGTTAAACATTATGAATTGAACATTTGAAACTATTACAGTGCCTTTAATATTGCTCTCATATAAAATACTTCATGATAAATTATAACACAAAATATCTTAGATTCTGCACTGAGTCTTCCAATATAAAAACAAATTATAGTTTAAATTAACTTTATCTACTTTATAGTACACTGGCACATAATAATAAGACGAGATATATTCACAAACGAATCATATGAAATGTGTTTTGTATGCTTTATGAATTATTAATGAAGATTTTGTCTGCCATTTAGATACTCATGATTTTATTGACTATATAATTATTAAATTTTTCTAAAAGAATGCCATTTTTTAGTAATTAATCAATTGGTGCTATAAATAAGAATATTTCTACAAATGTAGGAAAATAGACTATTGATGCATCACACAGTTTGGTGTTATCATGCTATTAAAATACATTAAATGATACTTAATATATTAGACTAATATTAGAGGATGTTTTTTTATATGTATTAAACATACTTATAGTACTTATATCATATACATTACACAGTTATATTGAGTTATATAAATTATTTTTTGGCAGTAAGAACAGATATATCCTTTATACATTTAATAGTTAATTTACCAATATTAATTCACCAATATCTTGTATTATTTGGATAATTTGAAGCATTTTGTAAATGAAGCATTATTATAATTAATCAACTATTTTATATAAATATATTGTGAGATAATTATAAGATAATATTGTGTGTAAGAATATTCTATTATTAATTTTAAAGATACATTAGTGATATAATTTTTGTAAGAAAGACTATGCAGTATATTCAATAATTACATATACTTAAACATATATTTATGATAAACAGTAGATGTGTATATTATTATTTCAAATTATATTTATTATTTCGAATATATATATGTATGCACAACTTGCTTTCTAAATTTTAATTATTTATACAGGTGCTACAAAAGTTAATAATTTGTTACATCAGAATAATGGAAACTGAATATTTTAATGACAATCCGATTTTATTTTTTCGGTAAAAGCATGCTTATATATAAAATGTTATTTTAAATACGTATATTACTGTAGTAATATTATATTAAAATAGATTAGTAAGAGAATTTATATAATTCAAGAGAAACTGTGATTAAATTTTTTTTAGTCTCGCGAAATTTTTTTGTAGAAAAATGGGATTTTTATATTTATACAATTTATATTTATATATATTATATAATGATATCATTATATATTATATAATATATGAATATTTATATATGATATTTATATATTTATGATATATATACATATGATATATATACATATATAAAAACATATACATATATAAAAAATATATTTCATATTCCCTATCTTGTACTTATCCATCAGATGTGCTTATCTATGTAAATGATGACTTATCTTAATGAATAAACTGTGTTTCTAGATATAAATTTTATATATTAGATTTTGTATTGCAATAATTATGATTTTATTCATTATTTTTAAATACAATAAATAAATAAATTTTTGAATAACCGGAAATCGAAAGATTGTGATATATAAGTATTAAATATTTTTATATTTTATATATAATTTCTGATATTGTTATAAAGTATAATGTATATATGCAGATATATTACACATTTGTTACATTTCTATATAATTACATTTCAATGTAAAAAACATTTAATCTATACTTTATCTCAATATGTTCTCATATAACATTGATTAAGTGTGTTAACAATTAAGGACAACAATTTATTTGTATCTTTTCTATTTAGATTTATAAATTCTATAAATAATCTCAGATACTGACGAGGTACTGTTAAAGACAATCAGACTTACGGGTACTTAAATAGTTTGAAAAATCCGTTTTACATTAACGCTTTTTCAAGAAGTATAACGGGCAAGCTAAGAAATATACATTGAAAAAAAAGTCAAAAAATGTTTGTTTGCAAAAGATTTCAAACCATTGTTTAACATCTTTTTGACTTTTAATTTCGATTACATTCGCGAGAGAAAAACAAAAAGTTTCTTCACTTAAGTCTGTTAATAAAAAATGAACTTAATAAATTTTTTATTATATTTATAATTTGTCAAGTTGTCTTTGTGGGCAAAGTTACTCTCTATTTCTGAAAAATTCTTTCATTTTCTAATGAAAATTTTAATCATTAGCTGCATTAATAGATTTTTTAAAACAACATATTTAATACTTAATTTTTGAAATGAAGATTTATTCTATATATTTTTTTATAGCTTTAATAATATTCTTTCATTTTTTAAAGACTTCTAATCATTCTAAGCATTCATTAATTAATTAGATTTTATAATAGAGAGAGAGAGAGAGAGAGTATATATATATCTACTGTAATATACGCATAATGTATATTTACTATAATAATAAATTATATTTAACATAATGTTTATATACATGTAATATAATGAATTTAATAATGATACAATTATTATTTTATAATATATAAATATAAAAAATTCATTAAAATCAAATCAAATTAAAGAATTCAATCGCTCAAAATATACTTGCTTTTAAATTTGAATTTAATTACATAACGCAAGCGTGATATTAAAATAAAAGTTAATTTTTTGTCATTGCGACGACGGTGTTACGTTCACGTGAAAAAAGAGAGTGGGAGGACGGAAGAGATTTAATTGTACAGGAATGCGAATAGAACGAATCTATAAGAAAATCCGCTTACTTTCATTACTTCTTCGGTAGAATCTTGTTACAGAGTCTTCATTCGCGATGTTCCCTAGGGAAACGCACGTGGAGGGATGCGCCGACGGATTACCTCGTTTCTCGATGATCATGTAATTTTGCGACCACAAAGACGACGTAAAATCACACATTAAAAATTTTAACGATTATTTATGTGTGTTAATAAATATTGCTTTTTTTCTTCAATTGATCGTCGGAAAATGTTTTGTTTCTTTCCCATGGTCGTCATGTCGATAATTTTTCTTTCACTGCAATTTTATCATTGGTCACATTCGCGGCAGGCCTCCAACACGTGATATTGTCGCAATCTGATTAGAATTGTTAATATTGTCGCAATTAAAAAAAAGTGCAGCGAAAACTTCGCTTACGTTCGAGCTCACTCAATTCCTTCATTCGTATCTCTTACTATCACATGCTATTCCAGTAATTTTAATTTGGTTAAAAACTTGCAAATAGTTTTCTTAATATGTATGCTTTACAATTCCATAAATATTACTTTGATTTAACGTATTATATGCATACGTATAACTATGCATACATTATAATAAAATAAAGGAGAGCAAAAATGTTTATTTTTGCTATTTCTGGCATTTTTATTGCTAATAATTTTTATTAAATTTTTAATTTACTAATGCCATTTGAGCTACTTTAAATGTTTTCAATTCGTACAATTATTGTAAAATACAGTATTTATATCTTTTAAATTTAATGTCAGTTCTGCTATTTTATAATGAAATTTTATCCAAAAACTATTTCTCTATCTCTCTCGAATTTATACCTTATTAGCTCATTACACGAAAGAATATTTATTTATAATTTTACATGCACAATTACATTAACGACTAATATCTTTTTATGAAACTAAGGACACGATAAAAATGCATCACAGCTTTTAAATAACTAGGTCGCGTGAAAGCTTGGAAAATGAGTTACCAGCGTGACCAGAAAGCTCTCCGATTTCGTGATAAGGGGTTGGAAGGAATGGACGAAATATAGCATAAGCGACCGAAGAGGGATGTTAAGTCTCCACGGAGACCACCCTCATACTCTGGCTTAAGGAAAGCTTTGGACTTAGAAAGACCATTTATTTCTTTGTGATGAAGAATAAAAAAATCGTAGTGAACGCAAAATTTCTTACCGTCTATGACTCTCTCTAATCTTTGTGTTTTATATATAATTTATTAAATAATTTTGACAATTTGTAATTATAATTATAGAAGAATTGTTATGAATTTGATATTTTGAATAGTTATTTCATTGCATTCATATTTCTTCATTTTTATTTTTGCGTAAAACTTCAATGTCATAATAATTTATGCATAGATTTTTCTACATTTTATTAATTATAATTTACTATCGATTGCGTATTTTTGAATTATAATAAAAACTTTCTATCCAAACCGGATATTGTTTTGAAAGACAACCTTAAACAATTTTGTAATATATATTTATTATTTATTTTCCGTGAATTTTATTGCGGCTACTGAAAATAATTCGTTTTTTGCAATCATGAAATATGAGCGAAGATTATCTATTTTTTATTATTTAATCATACACGAGAAAGTTTGATTAGAGAATAAAAAAATATGATCAAGTCTGTCATAATAAATTACTGGCACGCGCACAATGACACAATGACGGCATTATGATCGATGTCGTTAAAACCATATCCTTGTCCCACGTATGATGTATATGGAAGTATATCTTGCCACTGTAGACATTTTCACAATAATGCGTAACTATTACTTCAATTTCCTTAACATTTATATTTAGAATTATTAATGATCAATACATAACACAAATATTGTCCTATTTTTCATATGAAAAGCCAATATAATTTTCTTTTATTAGTTTTATTCTTTGTTCTCTAGAATTTGTTCACATATCTGTTATTTGAACAATTCAATGTTATAAATTATAATTTGCTCATTTTGCAAAACAATAAAGCATCAAGGCAAAAATATTTAATGTTTAAAATCTAATTCTACACTTTATATCTTTTAGATATTTTCATGAAGGAAGAAGTATAGAATTTTTTATATTAAAGCTATGTGTGCAAAAGTTAATTTATATAAGAAAAAAATTTTTATGTATATTATTGAATGGTTTATCTGTAGCTTACATTAGTATAGAGTGATATTATGAATTTTAAAACTATTTACGTTTTATTTATGAAAACTTTTACAACGGTTTGATATTTAGAATATATTTTTGAGATAAGATAAGATTTCGAAAAATCGCGACATGCAAAATGTTTAATCATATGAGAGAGTGACGAAATAAATTTCATAAACTAATATACTGACGGTTACAAAAAATTCTAGCCTTGTATCGTAGGTGTGGTCTAATGTAGAATAATTTTTATAGCTTGACGTTGTATTGCGATATGGCTAATAATGACTTATCGGCCAGTTTCTTGTTTATTATGGAAATGAAGTCTGAAAAATTACATATCTGGAATTAATTTCCTCGAAGATACATAATCTCTTAGCGCATGATATTTTAACTTGTTTGCACAATTCTCACAAAAAAACAACGAAGTAATTAACAATCTTAAAACGTAGTACAGAAAGCACTACTTTTTACTTATTTTTAATGACAAATTTATTGATACTAATTATTGCTAAAATTATTTGAAATTCTTATTTATATTTTTTTATATTTAAAAAAAAGAAAGCTTTTAATAATAATTAATGACACACAGATGCAATAATCGATCACAATGTAATCTATTTTGAAGATTCAGGAAGCAAACTATGTTTTATGGGTCGATAGATTTCTACTGTATTAATAATTGTTTATAAGTTAGAAAAATGCAAGTGCATAGGGTAGTGATTGACCTTAGATTAGTTTCGCCGTGAAACTTGCTTTTCCATTATATGCAAGGTTATTTAATTCTTCTTTTATGGTATTTTAGAAGTAGGAAATATGATGACGCAATAGAGATCTGTCTCCTTGTTCTACATAGCATTTTTATACCATTGGTGATTTGCTTGATAAAAACAATGTCTAGAATATTTGGTGAAGGAAATGATTTCATTTTTCAGTATTGCTCGTTCTTCAATTGTAGTGAAATGACACGAGCGAATATCATCGATTATTATTAAGTGACAATTAAGCGGAGAAGATTTAACGAGACGATTTACAACAAAATCTATTTAACATAATATATTATAAATTAAATATTAATTCTAGATATTAAATATTAATACCAGAGTGGTAGAAGCTTAATTGCTTTCAAATATATGACGAAATTATTAAAATTAATAGCATAACGCGTTTAATGAATATTTGACTGACTATCTAATAGCGGCATAATGAATATTTGACTGAATATTTGATGTAGCAATTATTATATATTTAAATGCGTGGATTATTCTGTATTTTTTCGATAGAATAATATACATCGTACGTATAATATCTTTGTGGTGAATACGATTCGCTGATATTATATGTCATATATATATATATATATATATAACATTATGTACATATGTATATATAGTAATAATACCAACAAATCATACATAAGACGATACAAAAGAAGAAAACAATATAAAAATATCATATTTTCGTTTTCTTTACGGATTGTTTGGCCAAGCTGATTCTTACTTAATAAAAACATATCAAGTTACTAATGATTTCTATGTTATGAGAATAAAAAACTTTTTGGAAGAATTTCTCAAAAGCACAAAAACGAGTAGTAAAATTTTATTCCTTATTGAATTTTCAATCAATCAAAATAAAAAAATTCTTGAACAAAGATTTATCAAAGATTATATGTAATATATAATATTTAGTTACAATCTTGAACAGAGATTTGTCAAAAATTATATATATATTTAGTTGATAAGATAATATTAAACATTGATAATTTACAAAATAAATAATGCTTTCAATATTTTCGTTTAAAAAAGTTTGAGATTTAGTGTTATTTAAAGTATCTGTAGTTAAAAAGAGAGAGAGAGAGAGAGAGAGACTATAAACTATGAAGTATGATATTATATAGTATGATCTATCTACCAATAAGAAGGGTCTCTAATTATAGGATTTGAATTAATTACGATATCAGCAAAACATGATTATTTGAGTAATTGTTATAAATATGCTATTTTACAAAGAGATCCAATCGCTGGAGATTTCGTTGGTTGGATGAGTGAGTAGTATATTACAAACAGCTAATCTTTTACAATTATCTAGTGGGATATGCAAAATCTAACAGCAGTTTTTATAAATTTACTGATGTAAATTATAATTTTTTTATTTTATATCTAGATATTTTTCATGATATGTAAATTGCTATTTGATTAACGTGCTATTTGATTACGTGATGTTTTTATCGTGTTATATTTCTTTATTATCAATTATTGCAATGGAAAATGTCGAGTGATTATAAATTAAAATAAAACTAAATAAAAACGGTGTATATTAGTTATAAATGTATATAATACATCTACTATAATGTATTTTTCTTTTCATAAATAAAGAAGATATTTAACTTACGACATTTATTGACAACTCTTGTTAATTTTTTTTCAAGTTATTACTAATTGTAAGTAAATATGCATACATATATAGAATATATAGAATACATTTTCTTTTCTTTCTTATTTTTCTTGGTGCGATATAAAAAGCGCGAATCAAGAATGTATTGAAGTATTGCGTATTTTTTCCATTTGTGATAATTACTTCAAATTAAATTACATTGAGAAAAAAGATCTGGCTGCATTTAGAAATTTGGTAAATTCAACCAGTATATCTGTTGGACGAATCAGAATTCCTTTAGGAATTATCAGATAAGTATAATTAATTTCTTCTTGTTAAATTTACTAAATTTTCTTGATAATAATATTAAATTTAAAAAATGGCAATTGTGTCCATATTTAGTCAATATAAGAAGAAGTCTTATAGATCCAACAGAAAATACTAAATAAATTCTTATAATAAAGTTAAACGTTTTAGTTGTGAAAAATCCAGTTTTATCATAAAAACTAAAAATTTTGTTTGGTTTAACCAAAGTGCTTTCCATCATATACGTCTTGTTGGTACAATTAAATAATTTTTCTCAGTGTAACATTTCTATAATTTTAATGGCTTAAAAATTATATATATTTATATTATTTATATATTAATTATGTTTCTCTTTTATATTCTTTTAAAATCTTTTCTTATTCTTTTATATTCTTTATATATTCTTTATATTCTTTATATTCTTTTATATTCTTTATATTCTTTCATATTACAACTAAATATACATAAAAGTAAAAATAAAAATATATTATCGAATTCGCTTTATTGCATTCTTTATAAATTTTTTTTGTAAATATGTATAAAGAATATAAAACAACATTTTGATTCACATGTACTGGAATAAAGGAGTTTTACATGTGCAGCAAAATTTTATAAAAAATTGTTATATAAATCGAATCAAATGTTTATTATTAACATTTATTAGTACTTAAATTGCTAAAATTAAGAAATGAAAAATAAATCAATTTTATTATATTATGCTCTAGGAAGACAGTATGTAATCTTTTTTAATTTAACATATATACTAATTCAATTGTTTAAGATAAAGTAAAAGAGACTTAATTCTTTTTTTTTCAGAAAATAATAGACAAATAAAATTAAGTAAATCAATATGATAACTAACAAGTAATTTCAAGTGTCAAATTCTTTATTCATTAAAAGAAAATATATCAATTAAATTAAATGGGTTAATATCTATATGTATATACATATTCAATTATATATAACAAATACATTGTTGAATATAACATTAATGCTAACTATAGTTAGAAATGTGAAGCGAATTTGTCATCACTAATTAAAAAATCATTAATCTCTTGAGAAATACCAAGGTTTTCCTCGCAATTAATGTTATAAAATAAATAATTCCATGCAATAATTAATTCCTAGGGTAATTTGATAGGCGTGTTCTCAAACACTGATATAATAATCCTACTAGCGATATTGATGACAGCTTGATTAGTTTTCATATATGCATCATATCGCATCACAAAAACTTAACATTGTTGCGCATATGTTGAATTCTAACGGAATTAGTCAGAATTGTATTACATATGGTTTCAACTTTTGTTTGGATTTTTGGAATAAAAAATTACTAATTAAAAATCTATAAAATAATTTATGTGTATAAATATTAAGATAACAATCACTTGAATTATCCTTGCTTGCCAACAATGTAAACATAGGTTTGAAATTACAGAAATAAATCTCATATTCATTTCTTACACTGCGCAATTGCACTCTTTGTTACATATATATTTTAAGAAAATACGTACGTGGGCAAAAAATTATCTATATATTTACTTACTAAATATATATTTACTTACTAAAATTTTGCATTAGGCACCAAAAATATTTTTATTTTAAATCTCTAAAAAGCGTTCCAAAATATTTAAATTCATATTCAAGTTTATATTTGAAAATTCAACCAGAAGCATTTTTTAATATTGCTTTATTTTTTATTCTGTAAATTGTATATTGCGATGTAATTGCATAATTGCATTTTTTGTATAACTTGTTGTCCGCTTTTTAATAGTCGCTATTTAACATCATTAAATATTCATGCCTATTTTTTTTTTGATTAGAAAATTTTGAATAAAAAATATGCGTTTAAAATATATCGATGTATCGATTTAGTACATATCAAAACCGGCATCAGTAGTCTGGACAATTTGCATTTCATTCTTAAAAAAGCAAGAAAAGAATGCCTATGTTCATAAAAATAATGTATGCATAAAATTTTTATATTAATTATTATGAGTGTTATATCTAATATTCTTATTATCGCAGTTTTTAAATGCATATAGTCCATTTTATATCTGTAGATGTCTGTAATTTAGTATCTAACAGATGTAAATGAATAAAGTTAATTAAATTGATAAATTATACACATATATGCAATATCAAGAAATAAAACGATTATAGAGAATAGGAAATAATATATTTTATTTCGTTTATCTATAAACAGTTATTCATATTCCACAAAATCAATATTTTTACCTTTTTTTATTTTCTTCACAGATTTGTTATCTGTAATGTATGTGAGTCTAATGTATGTGAGTTATATTGTATTTACAAACAAACCTTTTGTTATAGTTCACTGTTTATACTGATTTTGATACAGTCAACGATTTAATCGAATGCTGTGAATTACTGCTTGAAGAAGTTTGAGTTAAATTATTTAGTTTTATGTTTTAAGTTTCCATGTTAATAAAAATGTTAATAAAATTTATAATGCTTGGCAGCGCAATTTTTTGTGCAAAAATCTTGTATTTTACATTATTACAACACTGTAAAACAACTGAAAGAAAAAAAGAAAAGGAAATTGATGAAAAAATGTGCACAGATAAATTAGAAGGTATTATAAAGTAAATTTATATTTTGTAATTATATGTAAGATTTATAAAATAAATAATAAATAAATTTGTGACAAATAACGAATCTCTCGACTGCTATCCATTGTTTATAATTGAATGAAAATTTAAATTTATATTTTATTAGAAATAAAGAAAAAATTGAATTAATAAATGAGTTATTATATTATTTCTTTATTAATTAATAACAATAAATATCTAATTATTTTAAGAACAGTAATTTTAAGAACAGTAATAAACAAAATATGAAATCGGATTTTCTTGTTACAGATACAATAAATGATCAAAAAAGAAATCCACCGAGAAAACCACCTCGCGTATTTACATTGATACCACCTATAGAAAGAAATAATAATTCAAAAAATAGTTTACAGGATACTATTTTGAATAATGTACATTTTGAAACATTGGCCAATGACGACTATATAAGGTTATATATTATGTAATACAACTTAATATTTAGACAGCATAGAAAGATTAAAAGATGTCTAAAAGATATCTTTAAATCGTTTTTTTAAATATCTTTTAGGGACATGTGTTGTTTGGATTGAGATTACATTAATTACATAAAAATATTTAACAAAATTTATGATTTGGATTACTTATGTATAAAATATATTATCATATTTACAAAATTTATTAAAATAAGGTATAGAAATATTTAACAGAGACTTTAAACAATTGTTAATAATAATAGGTCAAAAGGTTATAAGGTTAAAGGTTCCAATCAAGGAAGAGTTCAGATTGAAAGTCATTCTAATGATGCCTTGCTTATCAACAATAAACCACAGGAACAAAAACCATGTGAAATCAGTACTGATGAAATCAGTACTGTAGAAATCAGTACTGATTTATCAAAATCAGCATCGCAAACAGAATTAATAAAATTGCTACAATTAAGAATCCTCGTGACGAATTCGTCGGGATCTAGAAATTCGCAATATTCTAAGTAAGATTACTATTTAACTTTATTAAACTTTTCTTTATTTTTTGTAACTAACAAAAAGAGTCGATATTTCTAAATTACTATTAATATCCATTTAAATAATATTAATTAAATTACTCAACTTTATGTAGAAACAATGTTAAATTTTGAAAGCACATTACATTTATTATAATGTTTTCATTAATTGTAATATTATATTATAATAGTAGTAATACTATATTAAATTAAATGCTTCATTTTTTAAGCACTAGCAAAATGATTACTAATGAAACCCAGTTTATGGATTTACCAAAAATGATGTGCACAGAAGATTTGCTAAAAAGGATGTCCACAGAATTAGGAAAAAATATAATTTCTCCATTAACATCCACAAAAATAGGATCAAAAAAATTAATATTTCACAAATTACGTAAGTATTTTATAGGAAAACTTCATTTAATCTTCAACCAAATTAAAAATAAATAAGTGATGAAAATAACACATATATATGAATATTTGTTGTTTAAGACACTTATTAATTTTTATAATTAATCTAATGTTAATGTTGGGATAATTGATAAAGATGTATTTTACGTTTTAATCCACTGTAAATCTCAAGATTAACAATCAAACAAACAATTCAGTTGTTTTGAGAAGAATAAAATCTGTTCAACTTTTTGATATTACTTTTGAAAGTATATAAATATAAATGATACATATAAATATGTGATATCTTAAAAACAATAATATTTTAATGCATTTTTTCGATGCTAAATATGTTTAAAATAATTTAAATAATAAATGAACATAAAAAGATAAATTTTATCATAATTTTTTCATAATACAATTAATTTTGAAATCTATATATATACATATACATATAATCTTCATAAATACATTATGTCTAAATTTGCCTGTTGCTGCAATTATTTCTTTTTATTTTCATTACTATATTATAGATTTACTTTGAGACTAAATACTCTTAATAGTAATAATATTTTTGTATATTATCGGAAAATTAATATACAAAAATATATTTAGAAATTTTATGAACTCTAAAAGCTTTAAATATTAATTGAAATTATATTATAATCGCATTTGTCATGAAAAATTTATTTTGACTATTTTATTGTATAAATAAAAATAATTTTTTATAAAAATTAGAGTTTTTATTCTTGATAAAGGAAATTGAGTTTTAATTAATTGAAATTATATTGTATAATCATTTGTGCTGAAAAAGCATTTGTGATGAAAAATTGATTTTGATTTTTTTATTATTTTATTTTATAAAATAAATAATTTCTTTTATAAATAAAAATAAATATTTAAAATGTGTCAATTATGTTAGAGCATTTTTAACACTATTATATTAAAAAACACTAACTTTATACATTGGCGCTTAGAAAAATTAATTTAATCTACTATTCAAATTGTTAAGATTCCTTTCAAATAGCTTGATCACATTTTCTTCTAATAATAGAATGGCAAAAACTAACAATGCTTTACATAAACTTCTCTTATACTATAATATAATATTTAATAAAATTAATTTAAAATTTTTTTCTTAATAAATCTATTAAAATTAATCAAACACCGTTTAATTTAAAAATCCAGTAATATTTTTAAATAATAATAATAATACTTCTAAAAAATATGCTATAGATTAAAAAGAAAAGTTAGAATTTATAAATGAGATTTGATGTAATTTTGCATATATCCATAATATGTTTTTAATTGACGTCAACAATTGTTAATTACAAAATTCAATCATGACATTAATTCATAATCATGGCATTAATTGCGTTAATGGACATAACATGAATGATATTAAATTATTTGAAATGCAAATATTTGCAAAGATTGTATTAAACATTAACATATTATGTATATAAAATGCTTCTATTTATCTTAATTTTTCGTATACCAGAGCATTAAATTTATGTTATATACATATCATATTCAATGATAAACGCTTTAAAAAAAGTAATAAGAGAGTATAAAAAAAATTATATCCATGATTTTGCACTTAGATTCTTAAAGAACAATTATTAAGAAGCTACACTATCGTTTTCTTCTCGTGTTATTGCAATTATCTATTTCGCATTTCCTGTTGCGATTCATAAGAAATTATTTGTTGGATAAGTTGTAAAGATATTACTCTCAAATGTGAATAAATTATCTCTTATCGATTTGAGATCGTTTAAGAAGGAATCTCATTCTTTTCAAGGATCTTTTTCTTGTTAAAATTCGGTAATATACGTAGTAAACGTTACATTGTTGTTTTTGTAGGAAATTATTAATACTATAACTGTGTGTACGAACATTTGTTACTCGAAGTAAAACCAAGAATGTGATTTATTCGATTGATCTACAAGATCAAGTGTGAAAATCGTTCAAGACATTGATCTGTAAATCGATCACGTCGGCTAATTAACATTAAGGATATTCGTCATACGATACATATAACGATTAGCTCGACTAGAAAGTAATTCAATGAAATCTATTATGACATTATGATATATTGGTTTGGATTAATTACAATGTGCAAATTTGAATTATATAATAACCTTTATGAGACGTGACATGTCTTTTCTGAGCAATCATTTGAATATAGAGATCATCAAAACATTTTTCTATACTTAAAATTTCTAATATTATTTCGAAATATAAAAATTGCAATGTCCTCCTCTATTTCTTTTCTAATTAATTCTAAAAAATCTATCGTGCCAATCAATATCAACGTGTGCAATGATTGGAAAAATGAAAAGTAAAAAGAAAGGAAAATGAAACCTTTATATCTATATAAAATTGTTTTTTACCTGCTTCTTCTCTTTGATTATACTTTTCTAATTTCTTTACAAAGTAATCATTGATATATTTAAAAATTGACGATAAAGATTGACATATATTGCAAATGAGAAACGATTTATCAATCGGTTAAAATACTTGTAATCGCCATGCACCGTTTATAATACCGAATGCTTCGATCAATGAATTATGCATACACTTGAACGTGCGAATGCTCGTTGTTGCAGCGCACGATTTGCATACGCGTGTTCGCGAATGATTAACGATTGGCACGTTACGTAATGAATCGATCTCTAGCGATAAGAGATAGTCATTCATACGTGTGTGTAATCCTGATTTATCCCACACATACGTATATGTGCGTACCTCCGTTAGTTGCGCGCGATATTTCCTTTTTCCTTCTATTGGAATGACGCACGTGACGTCCATGTTCGTGATTGTAGGTGTGGATCTACGTAGTTTATATATATACGGCCGTACAGGCGGGCCCCTCATGGACTTCGGTTTCTCTCGCGTCTTGTGCAGGCATTCGATCTGTGATGAATGCTTGTCGATACATCGAAGAATCTGAAAACTTGCTGCAGATTCTTCGACGATAATACAATTCCTCTTCTCATAGTAAATAAATGAATTTTTTAAAAGAAATAATGTCTACTTAATCTTTTTACAAGAAAGATTTTTTTTCGAGACCCACTTTTAATTAATATTTATAAGAAATATTTTGAAATGATTATTTTAATGAAAGAGATCTTTCGAAATAATTAAAAAAAAATAAATTATATTGATTAGTTAAAGATTTATATTGATGAATTATATTGATTAGTTGATAGTTAAAGAGTTAATAAGAATTGATAAAAACAAATTTAAAGTTACTATAACATTATCATAATATTTTGCATTTCTGTTATTGTAAAAAACATATCTGTTTTAATATAATTTACATAAAAATGTAAATCATCATTTATGTAATTCTATTGACTTTATTTATAATTACAATGTGCTATTGAGATTATGTTAATTCTATATTTTGCTATAAACTTGGTGATAAGTATACTTTTCAATGTCAATATCTCTGTGTTATTTTTTTGATATAATTAGAGAGAAAGAGAGAGTTCCAATCATAATTACATAAGAATTTTCAATTAATCATTATCTACATGTGTCATGCTTCCACGCTAAAATATCATAATAAATTAATTTTATCTAGGACTTTTAAAATTTTTTTTACACATATTTCGGCTTCTCTTTCTGACTTGGAATGTATATAGAGAAAAAACATGCTTAGATTTGTTATGGCATAAACAGTCATTAGACTTAAAGTAAATTGAAAATTCCAAATTCTAATTTTAACTCGGATGTAGCTCATTAAAGGAAGGAATCCCGTTCTTTCTTTTTTTTCATAAGAGGTCGGACAATCACCTCGCGTTAATAACGTAGCGACGAACAACATAATAAATATAACTGTACTTGACAATGATATCTGCATTTAATGTCATATGAGTATTCATTAATATTTTTATTCGCGAGAAATATAAAATGTTCTCGTCGCACAATATATATCATTCTGTATCTGGTTTCTTTGTGGCTTCCAATCCTCGAGTACATTTAAAAAAGTTCTAAAACATTTACAATAAGTGAGATTTTTCTAAGAAACTTAAAAATATAAAAGAATGTAAGAATATTCTCAAAATCGAGAAATACGCAGTTAAATTCGCTGAAAGTTAGTCGTTAAATTAGCAGAAAGATAAAATATAAGAAAAATATTTCACATTTTTTTTTAACTAAACTAGTGATCACCGATTAAAACAGTAACAAAATTTCATCAAAGTTTAGTAACTACTTTAAACTTTTTTGTCTTATATCTTTCTAATTATAACAGTAAAATTTTATATAATTATAATACTACTCTTTTGTTTTATATTTCACTTGTAGCAATAAGATTCTGTATAATTAGTATTTAAATTCAGATTTATATCCACATATATTATTTCTTTATTTTTAAAAGATGATAATCTACAAAAAGTAAACAAAATTCTTGATCAAAAACTTAGATATTTATAAAATATATTACCATGAATTAATTATATACATAAGACTTTTAAATAATATTTTATTTCGTAATATGCACAAACAACTACTCAATATATCTTTTATTTCTTTATTTTATATTTTGTTTACATTTCTATGATTTTTTTATACAAACCGCAGCGAGAATGTGATTAATGTGTGTCGTAGTCGATAGCGAGGTATTTTTGGTTTTTATCAAATGTGTAATTTCTCTTTTATTTAAAATAAAAAAAAACTCGAAAACGAGAAAAAAAGATAGTAAAGAATTTAAGTGTAAATTATTACGAATACAGATAAAACAAAATGTAAAAAGAATTTACATTTCTTTGCATTATATTTCTACTTTATTGTTTTAAAAGATCAAGAATCAAGATCACATAGAAACAACAGACATTTTTGCTTTATTTATTAGTATTAGTCTTACACATCAAAAATGCTTCAAAAATATCGTCACTTAATCTATTTCGCCGTGATATTAGAATTAAAATTTGACCACCAGTACTAAATTACCGCTCAACTGGTGCTGATGATGGTATAATTGTATTAAAAACAAGTGTTTTATATTAGAAAAACGTGTTATTAATATAATATCTTTTTGTTTATCGGATAAG